GAGAGAGGAGTGGGAGTTGGTGTTTTATTAGGAGGGGTATTAGGAGATGGAGGGTCTGAGGAAGGGGATACTTGTGACATGAGGGATTCACGTGTGTATCCAGGAGGGAATGGAAGGGATAGAGGGGATGGTGGGAGGGTTAATGTGGGCGGGGTTGGAGTCGGGGGGGATGGGCTATGTTGGGAGGGGGTAGGAGAATAGGGTGTAGGGGGATATCGTTAGGAGGAGGATGGATATCGGCAGTCACTTGGAGTGTGGACGGAGCAGGAGTTGTAGGATTTGGAGGTTGAGCGTCAGTTTTCATTAAGTAATCTTGAATATTTTCAATAGTTTCTTCTGAGGAGTTGGTTGGGGAGTTTTGGGGGATAGAGGATTTCTTGTGAGGGGGGGGGAGAGGACTGGTGTCTCAAGAGTAGGGGCAAAGGAAGGTGGAGGTGATTGTGTGGTAGGGGAAGAGGGGGTGGAACGTTTGTTCTGTCTGTTACGAGTAGTGCGAGGAGGGAGAGGGGAAGGTGTTGGGGTTGTAGTGGAGATTGGAGTGTCTGTAGTAGAGATTGGAGTGTCTGGATTTAGGATGGCAAAAGAGTTTGACTGGGGAAGGTAGGAGGTAGAAGAGGGGGAGTTAAATGAGGTGGGTTTAGGAGAAGTGGCAGAATGATCAGTATTACTGGAGTAAGGAGTAAGAGAGAAACCACGTCGACGTGCTTCCTGTCTGGCTTCACGTAGTGTGAGTCCAAGTTTGAATCTGAGAGTTGCTACCTCAGACTCAAATTTGTAGGTGGGACAGCCCCTATAAAATACATTATGGAGGCCGCCACAGTTGGCACGTGTGTGTGATTGTGCAGAGCAGTTTGATCGGGTATGGCCAGGTTGGGCACATAGTGGGCATCTGGCTGTGGAACGGCAATGTTTAGCTGGGTGTCCTAGACGCCAACAATTTTGGCACTGGCGTGGAGGAGGTTGGTATGGACGGACAGGGAGGGATTCTCCACCTATGTAAACGTTAAAGGGAAGGTCATGTCTACGGGAGGTAATTTTGGCTATGTTAGTGGGTTTCTTTCGATGACCTCTGGGGGAATGGAGTAGCATTGTACTGATGTTGCATCATAGTCTGTGGAACAGGCGAGTAGGTCTTCTCCACAATCCGACCAATCTTTGTCATAGATTGGGCAATTTGCTGGGGAGATTGAAACTGTTCCGGTGCAAGTATTGAGGGTTGGATGGGGTTCTGCAAGGATGGGGTTACCATATAGGTCAGTTGGTTTTGTTAATGCTATAGCTTGGTTTTCGGATGTTACTGTGACGAGACGGGAGCGGTCGGGTCGGCTACGGAAAGAGACTTTACCTACTTGTTTTTGGAGACATTGTTGGAGGAGAAGGGTGTTGTCAGAGTAGGGAGCTGTGGGAGGGATCACGAAAAATCGGTCCCATTTGGCTGCGCTAAATAGAGTATTCAAGATTGTTGTAGAGATAGGGGTAGTAGAAGGGCGGGGGCGTGACGAAGATGGAGTAGTGTTGAGGGAGGTAGTGTTATGGAGAGGTGGGCAATAAGGCTGTAAGGTATTAATAAGGGAGGATGGGGTAGTTGATGTTAGAGGTTTTGGGGGTAGAGGTGTTGAAGTTGAGTATGCTGGGAGAGTGGAAATGTCTCTTGGGGGTTGGTTGTTGGCTACTGTACTAGTAGGCATTGATGAGGGGGTAGTTGTTGCAGTGTTCGGAGCCGTGGGCAAAGGAGAGCCTGGGGTCAGGGAATCCGGCGGTTTTGCATCGTTGGGGCTATTTGATAAAGGGGCAAGCCTCATTGCCCCTAATAGTGGGGATATGTTTTCATTATTGGCTATGGTAAGCCTGGATTATGTTGGGGATAAAAACAGTCCACCCCTCAGGGTCCCCTTGAGGGGTAAGGGCTAGGTAACCAAATCAGGGGAATACCGTGCCCATGGCTCCATCAGGCCGTTCAGGACTGGCACAAAGTCAGCCTTTCATCCTTTCAGCACGGCTCTCACACCTTAGGAGGTGGATAGTAGAAGGGTTTGGTGAAGGGACAGAAACGAAAAGTAGGAAGGGAAGAAAGACCATGCAAAATTAGTTGAGTCGAGGGCTGAGTCCCTAGGTTGGGGAGTTCCTCATCATTGGGTCCCAGTCTCTGTCTCCTAAGCCCCCCCACAACAACAACGGGTAAAGGATTAGGGGGGGGGGCCTTGATTCAAAGTATTTTGGAGGTGTTCATAGCCAATATGCAAATACTACACCGTCTTCTAGGACAGTGTATTTCAAATGAATTGAATTATCAAACAAAGCCTTTTTTCCTCCGTGAAGGACCTGTCGCACGGCACTTTTATTTATATTGTTAAATTATACATACTTTCTAAGAATTGTGTCTACATAATAATTAAATGCGAATTTGTAAACTAATATACAATTTCAATTGTAATTATCAATTTATAAAGTGACGTTTTCAAAACCGTCAAAGAAATAGAATACTTGAAGGAAAAAGTAAGATCCAAGTTGTCATTAACTGCTGTCTGATGCTAATAAAAATAACAACCTGTATTTATTGCTTCTTCAAAGTGTGATTATAGTAAAATGATGATCAATCATGTAAAGTAGTACAGCACTAAATTTAGATTTGTCAACTCGTGTACAATTCTTAATAGGAACAGCAGTGGAGGCACACCTTTGGAAACTGTGCAATAACATTTTCAAACCTTCCTTGCTGTCAACCAGCAACACCTTAGAGTGTTTCAATATTTTTTATGAAATAAACCCAAAATACAATCTCTTCATAATAGATAAATGAATAACAACAGCAGCCAATACATTCTCCAGCTAACAAATAACTGAATAACAATAAAACCAATAAATTCTCTTAGTAACAAATACATGAACAAAAAAAATAGCAATGACAACCAATACATCCTTATGGTGACAAATGAATGAATAAGAATAGTTACCAATATTATTTACTTGCTTCTATTTACTTCCAAATGGTAAAATAACGAAAGATGTATATACTGTCCTTATATTCCATATAAAGAAACATTATGAACTAAAATCAACCCCATGAATATGTTTCATTTACTGCTTTGGTTTCTTCACTAACATGTAAAAAATATAAACTGACAAGAAAAAATCACGCAATTGATGGGCAAATGCTGTCGTTTACAGCCACATGCGTCCTTCATTACAAGCTGCGATGCAGATTTAGGACCTATCTCTACTCATGACAGATTTGGTGAATTTGCCCAAGCCATGATTAACATCCTCCACCCAGGGTTATTTCTACAGGAGACAACCGAGTAGAAAGGATTATCCTCAAGGAGTCAAGCTAAGTTCCAAAATAGCCTGAGTGGGTAGTTTCAGATTGTGGAAGAACAGGTTCTACACTGTTCTCAAGGTGTTCTCAGTGTTTGGACACAGCTCAGCCAACTGTACCCTGTAACCTGATGTAATCTTTTGCAAGAGGCACCAAGATGAGATTCCAAGGCACAGGATAAAGTTCAGGTTTCATTGCCATACAGAGAGACCAACATTATCGGGGCCTTGTTGGCATATTGTTTGTCCCTTCTTCACAGATGCCAGTATGTCAAATATTCTTGCTGAGCAAGGTCATGACTCATGCCACCAGGCTTATCCTTCTACAGACTTCCTGGTCTAACAACCTAGACTCATCAACTACCCCAACAAGATCGGTCTAGCTTCAATTCCCTGGCCATAATCATATACCGATTGAACAGGTTCTCCTAACAGACTCCCCTAAAGATCAAAGTAATATCAATTTATATTCATGGGAGTTTTTTTTCTGAGAGCTCTTGCACATGGGGCACAGGTAGGGTTGTTTTTTCAGGATGTTGCTAGTGAGGATCATGATAACAAATGCCCACACAGTTTTGATGTCACTATAGTTTAAAGAATCAGGAAGTTTTTACTTGGAATTTGAAACCTAATCATGGTGTCAATAGCTTTCTTATTTATTTGATTAATATATTGCATAAGTTGGAATGGTTTTCCAACCTGGAAATAGCATTGCCTTTTCTGTGTCTGTAAACTCTGGAATTCTCAGTGGCTATTTCTATTTGTTTTTCTTTTCAATGTTGAGAGTTATATCTGCAGTTTGAATATTCCACAACTTCTAAAAATATATACTGAATTTTCACATACATCTTTGACATGAAAATGTCAGAAATTGTTTCATTATTGCTTATTATAAATATTAATGGCAATTAAACTCCACCATCTCTATGGAGTTGATGACATTGCCATTACATATCAATACACGACTGGTGGGATTAACTAAGTTGTTCTGCGTGTGTACAGGATTGAACTTTGAGCTCAAAAGTAAAGCCTAGTCCAGAGTTGAACTAAAAGTTCATCCTGGACACTGCCATTGCACATGTACATTAGAGATTTGGATTAATCTTTAATACTAAGTTTAACTTTTATGGCACATACAGAAGACGCCCTATATGCTCCAGTAAACCTACAATTCTGGGAGATCGTCCAACAAGAGCTAACAAGGATGTGTCAGTCTGCTTGGCTTCATTAACTGCATTCCTGTATTAGTGATGCTAACAGTGATGTAGTTTGGAGCACTAGTACCAAGAGCCAAAAATCTTAGATCTGTAAAACCTTGCAAGAAAGATGGTACACTTGTCTTCTACATATATAACATGCCAAGCTTCCAAAAAATAAGTTTTCTAAAAAGAAATGACATGCTCTTAATTTGAAATATGGTACACAGAGGCATGTCTATCTGAGTATTAATGATCCTTGATTTAACACTGAAAAAATTTACCTGTGAAGGTTTCATTCACTCCAGGATCCAGACATGGAGAGAGACAAAGCACTATTTACCACTTGCCACTTAGCACTTTGGCTTGGACAATCAAAGTTTTATAATGGGGAAACTAATTATTTGCCTTTACATAGACACTTCTATGAAAGGTTTAACACAAGCAACTCTTTCCTAAAACAATTGGATATAGATTGTCATAGCCAAATATCATTTACAGTTTATTATATTCCAAAAGTACAATTCTCTCTAAATATAATGTTTACTGGTACAGATACCACTTGCAATCTTACAATAAAATATGAACAAAATACCCAAATCTAACTTTTGGGAAAACTTGTAAAGTAATGTTATTCTGATTAAATCCAATTCTAAACAATTAGTCTTAGAAAATACTGAAATCCTTAAAGCCATATGTTGCATCCTTCTTCTTCTTCTGTTGTGATGATGTTTGAAGTTCTTCTTTTCTGGGGGAAGAAATGCTTTTAATATACATTTTGTACAGAATTCAAACAATGAACTATTCATATAAGCTATAGTAATTAAATGATCTTTAAGGTAAGAATATGAGTTTCATATCTGGATTAGGTAAGATAAAGTCTGAGCTCATCAAAATATTCAGCTATTAGAAGACAAGTCATCTAGCATTTGTATGCCTGTACTTACGAAACTGATGATTTTCCTAAGTCAAGGAACTTGCCAACTCCAGACCGAAACATCTTGAACTGGTCCTCCACTACCTTTGGCCGTTTTCTATTCTTAAGCTCATCTTCTTCAGCCTTTCTTTTCTCTATATCAAGTCGCCTCTCTTCTGCAAGCTGTATGAAACAATTGGGTCAGTAAACATAACTATATAAAATTATCAGTTATGCCAACACATGAAGTTCTTGACTGGACTTCATCAATGCAATTCAAAACTATGTGAATATGCCATATAATATCCAGGATATAACTTGGACCACGATATTCACCATACATTAAAAAAAACAGCAGTAACGCCTAAAAAATCTGTGATCTCCTGGAAAACTGATAATCACAAAACAAGGCAAGAAACATAGACTTTTTTTAATTACATATGTCCTTTGCATTCATTTATGTATATCAGAAATTAGGTGAAATCCAGACATGACTTATGATTCATTAAAACCTCCTCTGTGCTTAATAATATTTATGTTCAGAAAGAGAATTTCCAGACTTTATAATTATGATTATGGTTATCATTATTATCATTCAGGGACATGGATCATTCGAAAGCTGAAATGTATATGGTAGAAAAACAGAATATACACAAAATAGGCATTCAGAAATGTTTATGTTTTTGAAGATGTTATATCACTTTAATTAGAAAGGGACCATCCCAGGATTTGATCCAAATAATCAGAACACTGAATATACATACAACTGAAGAACAAATTAAGTACCATAAGGCACCACTCATCATGTATTTGTTAGATTTCCTGGGCTGCTTGTGGTATAGATAAATTCAATAAAATCATAATAAAAATAAGCAGGTCTCACAGACTGTCTTCATACTTTCCTGTGGTGCATGTATTAATAATGTACATTTCAGGGGATACCTTACCAACTTACCTGCTGTGTATGTAAATATTAAACAAAAAGGAGCTAAAACAAAAAATTGAAGCACATATTAAAAAAAACAGCCATTTTGCTTCTTCTCCTTCTCTCACACATCATGCCTACACTGGTTAGTCCCATTATTCCCTTCAATCCAGATGGTGTGACCATCACTTCATGAAAATATTTGGTTTGAAGAATGGATGATGTGAACATGCCATCATGGAAAAATTTGGCTGAGGACCTGGGTGACAGTGTTGCCAGAGATGGCTTGTAAATACATGCCATGTTCAGTGAGTTTAGTTTCAAAATTATTTTTACACATACATAGCTCATACATATATAAACAACTATGCCTCACTGATGAATACTGATTACATTTGCTATCTTTTCCCCCTGGGTTGTAATGTCTAATTACAAGTGTACTTTAAGGGAACCGACTTTTTTTATTGCAAAATAAATTAAAAAGATGAAAAACAATTGTAGTCGAACCTATTGCCAAGACTGACACCACAATCACTTCTCTAAGTAATGTAACAACACAGTGGCCATATGTGGTGGCTGGCTGAAATAGTCTGAATACATTTTGACTGAAAAAGCAAAACTACAGTGGACAATGGATGCACCTAGTTTCAATGGGTTAAGGATTAAAATGATCCATAAGAAATTTCCATTAAGAAAAAAATAAGTTATATACAAACCTCCACATCTGCTTCCTTAAAGGGGTCTACAAATACTGTGGCCTCCTGGATAATGATGTCCTCAATTGGAACATCCTTGTTGTCTGTCTCTATAGCCTCCATTCCTGATAATGTTGAAAGACCACCCACAACTCGCCCAAATATAGTGTGTTTGCCATCAAGGTGAGTACACGATCTGTATGTAATAAAGCTGTAAAACAAACAATCAGTACATTAAAATCTTTGTGTTAATTCAGTTACTTCTGCTAGTACAGATTTATATTACTAAAATGAATTTCTATATTTGTAAGCCTAGATGCATTTCACTACATATTTTATTAAATATATTTTGTTTTGTTTTTTCAAACATTTGTACATATAGAAAATCTAGTATCATTTTTGAAACCTATAAAAAATTAGTATCATTTTTGAAACCTATAAAAATCTAGTAAAATTTTTGATGTCAATAAAGAAAAATGTATATGAGTTTCGACAAGTATGCACATTTTTTTCTTGATTTATTTAATTCATATAGCAACAACAATTTGAGAGAAATAAAAAATCCTCCAGGAGCTGGTGTTTGTATGTATGTAATCATACATCTTAGATACGCTCATGATTCTGTTCAGATAACAAACTAAACAAAAATTCCAAGTAATGGTCAATAAGGAAGTTTTGAAACTTACAGCAAATGGACTATACATCAATTATTGCAAGACAGTGCTTATTTGTGACATGCAAAGGAAAAACCAGTATGTAACAATAAGCAGCAGAAAAATAATCAGAAGAAGAAGCAGAAGAAGCAGGAGAAGAAGAAAAAGAAATAGAAAAAAGAGGAAGAAGAAAAGGAGCAGAAGAAATAACAGTTGATGTATAGTCCATTTACTATAAGTTCAAGACTTCTTTATTAATCAGTTCTTGGAATTTTTGTTTAGAGTTTGTTATTGGAACGAAAAGGAAAAAGGACGACACAAACATACAAATGCTTACAATATCCTTCTGTACTGCAGGATACCCCCAAATCTAAATGCTTTAAAACAGGGATTGAAATTATACTTGCAATTGGCTTTTATTGGTGTCAGGTCCCGAATTGGCCATAGAGAGAACTCCTCGCCCCTTATGGGACAAGTTGGGCCGAAATTCATCCTTGAATGGTTTTCCCCAAATGGACTCTCCACCTTTGCCTGTACCTTCTGGATCTCCTCCTTGTATCTGTATATAATTAAAAGTTTTAAGCCTTCTTCTCGTGAGAGGAGGACAATAAATTATGGTGTATCACAAGATTTCATTTTTTAGGTTATTCTTAGTTAGGATAGTTATGATTAGCTACACTGGTTTGGAAAAGGTAAAGTAAATTATGAAAAGATTAACTCCTCAATATGGGTAAGGCCATGATAATGTCCATAAGAATTGAAATTTAAGGAAAGTAAAATATAAGTTAAACCAATGGTTCATGTCAGCAAATTTAAGAAAGACACACCTATTATATTTACATACATTTTACAATGTACTTCCTATATGAAGAAGGCAAATTTCATATCTTAATTACATAATAAGGAAACTTACCATGAAATGTCTAATTGATCTATGGAATTTTGTTCCCTTGTAATATCCACGATCACATAACCTTATGAAGTTCTCTGAGGCTTTTGGTACGGTGTCACAGTACACTTCAAGGTTCAATGTACCCAAATTTGTCTTGAGGGAAACATAACCTATGGAACCATAACACAGATATTAAGATATTGCCATAAAAACAAACTATATCATGGCTCTTACTATAACTCAAACTCTATAACTATAACTCTTACTCAAACTATATCATGGCTCGTAATCATTATGTGTATATAACAGCACTACATCATACCCTTTTTTTTAACCCTCTGATATCTGACAACATCGTCTTCTAGTACTGCTGCTTCTTGTTTTGTTTCCACATCTACTGAAGTTGAGGTAAAGCTGGCTGCTACTTTCCCAGTTGAATAGTGAGCCTTCGGTGAAAACAAATTCATCATTCTAAATTATCTTTTATGAAATCAGTGGTGGAAATTTTCAATCACAGAAATATATTATCCACTACTTTATACACACTTGCCTGGTGTGTTACTATAAGCAGAAAAATACATCTTGTAAAAGAACAGAGAAAAATTATTCATCATATAGAAGTCTACATCTGAGAAATGTCATTCTGCATTAAACTTGTCAAAACATCAGCTTATCATATCTAAAGAGTTAAAGAATTTGTAGTTTCTGAGGAGACAAAACTGAAGATCTACAATAAACTGAATTTACTACAGCATAAGCAGAAAAAAAAAAAAATTGCAATATAAACAGAGAAAAATTACTCATTAAATAAAACTCAATTCAAGTCTGAGAAAAGTTATACCGCATTAAATTTATCTGCTACTCGTTCTCCTGCTTCCTCCTTTGGACCATCATCTTTGTAGGTTTTGTTGAACTCTTCCAGGATCTGCTGAGTATCTCGTGAAACATTCTTCAGTCTCATGGATGCATCTGAACGAGCTTTAACAGTCTCTGTAAATGAAAACCTTGCTCTAGGAATGTGTACAAACCAATGCAATACTAACTTTCAATGGCACAAAACAGGATCTCTAATGAGGCACTGGTAAAAATATACAAACATTACAACTGCATATAATCCTTCTCTTTTTCAAATTCAGATCTAAAAACTATTTCTACAAACATTTTACGAAAACCAAAGGTACAACCCACTCACCCTCATCCTCTACTTTAAGGTTCTTTACGACATGATGAAACTTGCTGATGTTGAACTTGGTCAGGTCTTGAGAATCCTGGATGATAATCAAGTCATTGCGGGTGAAGGGCTTGTCTGTGAGGAGCTCCCTCCAGTTGTTGACTTTAATATTCAGCTGTTGTATGGCCTAAAAGATAGATAAACATATGCAAATAAAATTCCGATGAACATTTAAACATCTACCAGTACAATAAACATGTGCTTTTAGTTGTAGAAACAAAATAAATTTTGTAGAATTAAAAAGTTCTTATCTATATATCTTCATATTACTTATTGCCATTCTTTACTTTCTTTTTT